TTTTAAACGTGCACAGTTAATTGTATATTTTTTTATCTGCAGTCAGTTATTAGTACAGTTAACTCTCATTAGTCATTTATTGAACTGGCAAAATGCATACTTCTTCTATATATTTTGCTATTTTTCGCCATGGTGTCACCCCCGAAATTTTGCCACCTTGCGCAGTCCTCAGCCCCGCCCTACCTTGTGACGCCTCTGGCTAGCGGTACTACTTGAGTACAGTAAATATGTATGTATGTATATATATATATATATATATATATATATATATATATATATATATATATATATATATATATAGGCCTATATATATATATCGGGGGGTATAGCCCCTTGGCACACCTTGTACCTACGCCACTACATAATCATGTTCTTAAGATTATATAGCACATTCTATGTATAAATTCGATAAAAATAGCTATTACGAATTCTACAATTTTATATTTGTAATAACATATTGTAAACGAAATGAGTCTTAAATTCGATTACAAAATGGGCCTTTATATTATGTATTTTTTCTATTTTGCAATCATATCATGTATTACTTGTTGTATAGCCTAGATTCTATAATAATATACTAATATATTCTATATTACATAATCCTATATTATATCATTTAGTAATCTCTACCCTAATGTTGTCTATACCGAATAATCAATATTCTGTAATTCTAATTGTGTATAAATTAATCATATAATCTCTAAAATTAATCATAACTATTGTTATAACTGCTTCCCCATGTTACGGTTATGTTGCAGTGCAGTGAGAGGGTTTATTTATTTGATTCAGCCAGCTACCATTTCACTCGTCTCCAATACCAGGGAGAGAGTATTACACCTTGATAACCACTAGGTTATGTCACATTCAAACGGGTCTACAACGCTCAGAGATAAGAGGAACCAAGTAATCCGTGTACAGATCTTTTAATCTCGTATCTACAACAACACACGTCCTTTCACACCGACGATAAGGATTCAACTGCTCACACATAAACTCATAGCAACCAACTCCCTAACCTAAAACGTCACTATCTTTCGTATCTCGTCACACATTCACTCGTTCAACATACGGCCGCACCATCAATCCTGCGCACCAATACCCCAGTCAAACATGCATCATAACATTACCCCCCTCTCCATTTAAGCTAATCCCATTAGCTTCAAACAATTCTATAAGTTCAACATATGTCTACTAACATATCATCTTTAACATGCTTTTAACCTAACAATATCAACTAGGTGCTGTACATGAACATTCATTCTATTTTCCAATTCTTATAACTACATTGCATTGTAATTTTACTCCCACACAATGTTATTTTAATCACTCGCATTCAATTAATAATTTCTCTTGAAATATCTCCCTCAGATAGGTATTCTTGGGTTTTCACACACTTCTCTCATCATCCTACTCAGCAATGTCCATCTCTTGACACCAGTAGCTATAAAAGAAAATTATACCCAACATCCCATTAGTATAGATCAATACAACTTGTGATGGCGAACAGAGCCCCCAGTGCCACCATTTAGTGGACATCTGTGGTTGTTCCCATCTTTATATACAATATCACTAATACAGCTTAATCAACATGGCACTGGATCCCCCAGCTCCTGTAATAAAATCCTATCATTACATGAAATAAACAAATAACTCAGCATAAAACTTCTCTCAACCTAGAAAAATAATCAATTCAGTAAATCATTATAGTATCACAAAATATTTCCACATCATGGATCAGGTAACCTTAAGATTCTCATCAACCTTAAGAAGTAAACATAGTCACATCAACACATATTATATCAGAAGCAATCAAACCCCATCAAACTATAGACATCATTAGTTCATAACATTAGTGTAATCATCATGCAACAACAAAAAAAAACTTATCATATCATTATTTCTTATTATTATCATAAGTATAATCTCTCTGGAACAAAGCTTCATCAACCCACATCGTCATATCTTAATCAAACAAAACTCAGAGTACTATCAATCAAGCTCATCAACATATCAACATGCCTACATGTATATATATCATATCTTACAGAGTCTTTTCCTTGACAATTACCTCAGTAAAAAAAAATTCAATCACTAGCATCAGGCAAATTAAAATTTGCTCTAAATATGTCAGCCCAAACACAATTTGGATCATTAATCTTTATAGTCTCAGTTCCATCAGCAGAGGTCACCAGAGCACACTGTAAGTCATTGACTTCCCCATCACTAGCCATAAAACATTGTGCCTTACTTTGTTCTGTATCATCTTGCTTACACCACTTTCTGTTTCTATTTCTATTCTGATTCCTATCTCCTATATTTATCTTTATACTATCTACCTTGTCAGAGCCATCAAACTTTACTAACAAGTTTTCCTATTTCCTTTTCAAGGATGCTGATTTTGTTTTCTAAGTTCTGGACTTTGCTGCTTTCATTATAATCTCTTACCCCAAGAACATTTCCTATTATCAAGTCATACGGTCCTTTCTTAAAAACCACAGCATCTACATATCCGGCTATCTCTTTTGATCTAACAAAAACTCTAGCCACAGGCCAACTATAGCTTCTACCTCCAAACACATTCACACACTTCCTTTTATTAGTGTACTGATGGGATTTAACAAATTTATCTCTAACAGCAATAATGGAGGCACCAGTATCCCTAATTGTCACTGTATTCATCCTATTCACTGAAGCTTTGAAAGTATTCATCCCCTGACAATTTTTATTTAACACTGCTATGTATACACTATCCTGATCTTGATTATAACTATTTCTCCCTGCCACTTGAAATTCCCTGCAATCTTTCCTCATATGCCCATACCTATTACAACCAAAACATCTAATTTGTGGTCTATTTCCTACCTCATCCCTAACTCTAACCCTATCAGGACAATTTCTCCCTAAATGACCTGCCTTTTGACAATTATAACAATTATATGATCCCTGGGAAGCTACATTTGGACTTGCATTATTCCTTCTGATATTCTTGTTGTCTATCATTTTACTACAATTCCTTTCTACTCCCTGAGCTAAAAACATATGACCAAATTCTGTCTCTTTCCTAATAGTTTTATCTGGATGGGCTGCCTGATATTTTTGACATAGGTCAGTACATGCGGCTAAGGTTCTGGGTTTCCTTTCTTGGAGATAACCAAATAAATCTTTATGGACTGAGGTCAAAACCTTGTTGACTAGAATAAATTCTTTCAAATTTTCCACTGTCAAATCCAACCCCGAAGCATCATACCACTTGTCAAAACTTGTTCTAATATTATTTGAAAAGATTTTGAAATCCTCTGTGTTTTCTGGTAATAATTCCTGAAATTTTACTCTGTAGGCTTCTTCTGTTAGGTGGTAGTATTCTAACAAAGTCTTTTTGAGAATTCTATAGTCTTTCATCTCGACTTCTGTTAAACCCTGGCAAGCATCCAATCCATTACCTCCTATCAATACCAATAACTGTGTTCCCCACTGTGACTCATGAACATTGGTAGTTCTTGCTATCGTTTCAAATCTCCTTATGTACGAGTCAAGGTTGTCCTTGCACTCATCAAATTTTGGAATCTTCCCTAAAATGTTACTTTCAGAATTTCTAACCTCCTTAGTTACTTGCTTGCCCACATTGTCTACTTTAGCCTGTTCCAATTTTGCTTCATATTCCAACTTTACCTTTTCTATCTCTATTCTAGCTTGCTCATTAGCCTCAACCCTAACTTTCTCTATATCTAATTCCTGTTTAGCTATTTCACATTTATAGGCCCTACTAGCTGTCTCCTCTACTAGTTTCATTTGCCTTGTTACCCAGTTCTCTAAATCTTCACCCTTATATTCCAGACTCTGTCCTAACTTATACATTTTCCTAATTTCTTCTGTGTCCATTCTAGATCCAATACTAGATCTAGATCTAGTATCCACCAATAGATTCAAATCAATCTAGATCTAAGCCCTAGATTCACCTGTTTAAGAAGTGACCAAATCACCTTCTTACGCACAAAAACACTCTAATTTAATATTTATATGACACAATATATGACCCTTCAATTTAGAATATTTAGATCTATTAGCCAGATCACCATTAAATTCATTAACTGTGATTAACCACAGAATCAAGATCTATTCTAGATCCAATTCCTAACGTATACAATTATACAACTGATATATAAATAATATATATGAAAGCTGAAAAAACAATGTGGTAAAACACCCCACAGATGTACTCTAAATAGTAAGAAAATGGTGGCACTTATCTTAAAAAACGAATTCACACAGATCCAGGTCCCGACACACAGATCCCCTTGCGGCAGTCTTGCTTGTACTTGTACAACACGTCTTGAAACTTGAAACACAGATCCCCTTGATTTTGACTTGTCCAATACGTCCCGGAATACAACACAGATCCCCTTGGTTTGTTAAATAAGTCCAGACACACAGGTTCTTCTCGTTGTCTTCCACAAATGAAGTAATTCACGTTGATACTTGATACAGAATCAATGTTTATACACACATCACTTTAGTTTCTTCCTGCTGCCGCCATGTTTTAAACGGTTCACGGTCAAGGTTGCGCTGACACAGCTGACTGTAGGTTATCGGAGTATTCAGCTAACGGTGAACAATCAGAAATGTCCGTAGTTAAATTGTACTGTACTGATACGACGTCCATATCGATGATTATCTTGTTCATATATATTTCCACCGGTTCTCACAACACGGGTAACTTCAGAATATATTCTTCTTTCCAGTCGGATTTCCAGGGTCTTCATAGGACGGTCGTTGGCTATATATATCGTTGTTTGGCTAGCTCCACCATGTTATAACTGCTTCCCCATGTTATAGTTATGTTGCAGTGCAGTGAGAGGGTTTATTTATTTGATTCAGCCAGCTACCATTTCACTCGTCTCCAATACCAGGGAGAGAGTATTACACCTTGATAACCACTAGGTTATGTCACATTCAAACGGGTCTACAACGCTCAGAGATAAGAGGAACCAAGTAATCCGTGTACAGATCTTTTAATCTCGTATCTACAACAACACACGTCCTTTCACACCGACGATAAGGATTCAACTGCTCACACATAAACTCATAGCAACCAACTCTCTAACCTAAAACGTCACTATCTTTCGTATCTCGTCACACATTCACTCGTTCAACATACGGCCGCACCATCAATCCTGCGCACCAATACCCCAGTCAAACATGCATCATAACAACTATGATCACAATTAAATTCAGCAATCCACTGTATTAATTTATATTGCTAAAAATAATTTAATTTTCAATTTTAAAGACAGAAGATACATTTTTATAATATTAATTATTATTAGCTCTGTAAAATGAATGGTTGTTTAATTTTTCTTATCTTAAATATTTTAAGCGATTAATTAATCGAAATGGTTTTATTCCGTTAGCTAGTTTTTACAGTTTATAACTATAGTTAGAGTCTCAACGACAGAATCAAATGAGAAAAAATCTATAGCGTTATTATATACCGACACTGTTGATAAGCCACTCAACGACAGTGTCGTTGAGAATAGTGTATGATCGGCTGACGAAACTTACTCTTTACCCCCAAGTAACTACTATTAACTAAATTATGTCGATGTTCCTTTAGCTCTGGTTTTGACTTAGGCTTTGGCTACGGCTTTAATGCAAATCTATGATGATTTATAGAGTTTATCAACAATAATATTCTATTATAACTTATGGAAATCGACTGAAATAATAAAAATAATAATAAAAAGTAATTGCAAACAAAAATTAAAATTTTATAAATGTATTGTGAATCACATATGTTAAAATGCTTAATAGTAATATATTATGCTTATTATCAGTGACAGTAATGCATATAGAACCTTTTAATTTAACTGACATGATAACCCTAAAATTTGAATTGGTATTATGTTTTTATAAAATTTAAAATTACAATTTTAAAAATATTAATAAAAAAAATTAACCAACAAAGTGTTGCAAAAAAAAAAATCCCCGGCTTCAATAAGATAATATATATAGCAGATTCATTTATCTATAGCAGGGGTCTCCAAACTTTTCAGCCCGGGGGCCGCATTAACTATCATATTTCAGTTCGGGGGCCAGTTTCTTCCAGGCATGTCTTTGATTTTTCGGGGCAAAGTTCCTCAGCCATCACCAGCAAACGTTTTTTCCTTTGACAAAAAGATCTCAGCGGGCCGGATGAGAGGACTTCGAGGGCCGCATCCGGACCGCGGGCCGTAGTTTGGAGACCCCTGATCTATAGTAAGACCTGAACAATATGTGTTTTAATTTATAACTTCAGGCTATTGTACTTGCTCTTTTCATTATGTAATAATAAAACAGTTAATATAAACTTATTTTATAACATTATTTTCTATAATCTTGAGTATATTTGATTTACATTGTTGCAACCTAGGTCGATTGCTTAAGTATTTAATTAATTCATATATTACTTTATTTATAAGTAAGCATAAAGTCAATCAAAAATTTCATACAAATATAAAAAATATTTAAATTAAAAAATGAAGTTATCATTTCTTAACTGACGGACCGTTAGTTAGTTTCTCTTACATTGAAATTAAAAAGGATGAAGTGGTCAACATTATGCCTATTCGCCATTACTTTTTCTACGATGAGTAACGTACCCATCACAGCTGGCAGAAATCAGCAACGTCTTACTGAATCAAGCCAGTGGTCGGTTAGCAATCATAGACTTAAGAAAATGTCGTCACATAGGCCTACATTGGCAAATAGCAGTGGAATTGATTTAAATAAAACTGATTTGTTTGGTACTACTTATATTTGGATGGTTTACGTTTAATTACACAATACTTTTACTTTATAAAAAAAGATCATATTTACAAAATATAGCAAAAGATTGGAGGTTTTCTAAAAAATTCGCTTATTTATAAAACATTCTTCCAGAATATTATCTTTATAAAATCCTGTACTTAGAGAGTACTATTAAAATTTGGCGTTTAATGTCTTATCTTTTAATAATTCATGTGATATCCAATAAAAAATGTTCTATCCTGTTCACCGTAACTAATAGTATATTTTATTAAGATTGAGAAAAACAATGATTTCGGCTCGATCTCAATACTAGTTTAGTAGCCTAATTGTTTCGATTTTAATGTATAATTAAATATATAATTTCGCAAATGTTTTGGTATTTTTGCTATTATCTTTGCAAAATTTGGTTAAAATAGTTTGACATCGATGTTAAGTAAAGATGTAGTTTGACAGTAGACTGATCCGAAAAATTGATACTTCTTTCTTTTTACAAGTTATATCTAAAATACACATTTGCATTAAACTATGAGACTTTTATCTAGTTTAAGGATTATCTAAAGATTTTGTTATATCCTTAAGACTTTGACATGTCACCGAAAATCAAAAACTTTATTTATAAAACATTGCTAATAGGTAAATGTAGTAATAAGCACAAATCGTACAATTATAGTCAACATTTATAAACTGCCTGTTATAAACTTGTCTTCCCTCAATAAATCTTCTGCTGATGGCCTTTGTTCTGCCTCAGGTGTAAATGTCTTTTCTAAAAAATCTCTCAGGTTTTTTGACGCTGTGATTGACAGCTCATACTTTGGTCTCTGCAGCATAGCAATTTTAAAAAGTACATTGGCTGATGCCGTTGTTGAGTTTGGTGGTGATCCAGTTATCATCTCTACAACTGTACTTCCAACACTCCTGGGCGAATTTAAAATGTGTTATTATATACATTACACAAATAGAATATAGAAAAAGATATTTGTGCACAATGAAATTAAATAGTTGAGAATACATATCTGTTTAGGTTAAGATGACAACAATAATAATTGTTTGTGAAGCTTAGGTATAAAAATAATACATTTGGATGTTCTTAAAACAAGCAATGCATTATAGATTTTAGAATAGTTTTTTTTTTATTTTTTATTAAAACCTATATTAACTTCAGTATTATTTAAATAAAATATTCTCACCAAATGTCCAAGCTACTACCATGTTTAAATATTCTACCATCAGGGCAGTTAATCATCTCAGGAGCCATATATCGAGTTGTGCCCCTTTCTGCTTCTACACCTTCTTCGTTAAGTATTGTCGACAGGCCAAAGTCTGTTAGTTTGATGTTTGATTCATCCACCATTAGAATATTAGTACCTATAAAAATTTAATTATTTGTTCCATAAATCGTTAAATTCGATCTTTATAATATGTGCACATGTATTAGAAGTATTAGAAAGAATATAAATATTTGGTAATACCTTTGATGTCCAAATGCAAGATGTTGTTTTCATGTAGGTACTTCACGCCTTCCAGAATTTGAATTGTAAACTGTCTGGTCAAACCTTCATTGAGTCGTGTGTGTTGTTTGATGAAAGTGGAGAGGGTGCCCTGTAGATAAAGCACAACCATTGTCAGCAAAAATCAACTAATATTTTAATCCAGTTTTAATTTTCTTACGTGAGTGTTACATAATACAGTGGTGATAAATAAAGAAATCATGTTTTACCATTTTTATGTACTCCAGAAATAAGACTATATCATTTTTTTTTCCTTTGATACCCATGAAACTTGACGATGTTTTTGTGTTTCAGTTTAATTAAAATGGAAGCCTCTGATTGTAAGCTCTGATGATCAAAAAATAAAGAATTTCCAATTTTGTTCTTTGTAAAATTTGATGATATGGTTAATAATTACATGTACCTTTACTGAATTATTGAATCACTGTATGATTTAGCGTAACGAACATCTAACATGTCATATGATCGCCCCTTCGTACCATCCACTTCTTTTGATTTTTTGGGTCTGCGTGTGTTTTCTTTGCAACAAATTTTTCATCATCTGGTTGGTCTATATCGACAACAAGATGGACGCTACCAAAACCTCCTTGACCTAACGGCATTGGTTTAATTTCGAATCTTTTGGGGAACTCATCAGACAGCAGTATATCTATAAAAATCAAAACATAATTTCTGCTAAAAAAGACAACTGGACTCTACAACTAATAAGTATTAATTGTTTTACCGTAAGAGGATTTAAAAAAATTATTAGCATACTAGCTAAAAATAACATATACTTTTTAACCTGTTTTAGATGGCAATATTCCTGTAGTACGTCCAGCTCTCCAAAGTATCGAATGTACGTTAGATGAAAGATCCCCATGTCTGTTTATTAAATCTCTTAACATGTCATTTAATTCTTCGTCTGTGACGATTTTCTCACTTCCTTCTTTATTCCTACATAATTCTCTCAAACATTGTGTAGTAAATATTTGTTCATCGGGATCTTTATGTGTTAGTATTTCTTTTAGGTGTGGATACAGTGGAAGCATCTAAACAGATTTAAACGTAATAAACATCATTAAGTTAACGACGTTATTAATGTAATATGCCCAATAAAACTACTGCGTATTCATCGGTAGGCCTATATTAAAATTTTAAAAGCAGTAGGTCAAAAATTTATATGACAAACATTAAAATGTCTTCCTAATAGAGCTTTAGCTAAAAGTAGAAAGAAACAAATATGATTACCTCATTCAACTCGTCATTTTGTTCTAAGATTTTAGCCAGCCCTTGAAGCAGCTCAGATCGTGAATATTGCCGTAGCATTCCTTCTTTCTTTGTAACACGGTGCATTAAAGCTTCTTTCAGACAACGTTTTGATTCCCCTGTTATAACATATTTATTACGGACAGTGTAAGAAAAGCAGTATTTTTAAAATTAACATTTCTGACGGAAGAGATAACTAAGTTAAAGTTGGTATTTAGACACGTTCTTAAATGCTATGTATAGCTTATTTATATTAATTAAACCGCCATTGAGTTATAGCAACCATTTCATAAACTTTACAGTTTCCCATGCTTTTGTCATGCTGGTCTATACTTGGAAATCGCAAATAAAAGCAAGCCCTTAACTGATTTGCTTTATATTTAACACATTGTCATTGACCTCGTTTGAAGTTTAATAACTTTTATATATTAACCTTAATGTAAAGTAACATATAAAAGTTTCTAACAACATTTCTATGAAGATATAACGGCGACTACTAGTGCAAAAAAAATAGTCATCGAAAAAAAAACACCATAAGGTAATGTAACCATACACGATCTAGTTTGTTTCAATTGTTAATATATGATAACATTTGGAAGTTAGAGTACTTGCTGTCAAGGTCAAGTGTCAAGTTACACTCGTTTATTTTTTTTTATGTTTAATTTAATTTATGTTTCGTTTTTACACGTGATGTCTAATTGTACATTTCGAAACGTGTAATGCATTTAATTTATTCATTTTATTGACTTGTATAAAGTTTATTATGTATTTCCTAAATTAGGAAGTTTTATCCGTGAAAAGTGAATGTGTTTAATTACGTACAGCTTCGTGTTAAGTCAAAAATATGTAGTTATAACCTGTAATTATTATTTATTTTCAACGTTTATGTTACTTTGATGATAATAGGAATACAAACTGCAAGAATATCATCTGCCTATTTTTTAACACCATATGTAATAGTTACGCAAATTCCATTCAAGATATTTAGTAAAATAGTTAATAGGCCCTATTTAACTTTTTACACAAAACAGTATAAGTCATTACTTATTGCCTCCGTGTCTGTGGTAGAATCGTCTTCTATAAGTAACAGTAGAAATGTTGCAACAATTGATGTTTCTTTTTCTTTAAACTCCATGTTTTTAATAACCTAGTGAAGATAAACATACATTTGGTTTTGTGAGGGATCGTTTAAAAATGCATTACTTTCAAATGTATTGCGGAGTTATATATTATGAATCCATTAGTAAAAATGCTGGTGTTATCTCCCCTAAACTTTCTTGAAAATTCTTTTATAAAACTACTTGAGATGACAACTCAGGATTTAGACATTATTTGTAATCAATTTTTAAATACTAATTTTTTTTAAATAGTATATAATTTCGTTGAAATAAGACTTGCGCACCAAGTGATCCGCAAACAATAAGTGTATAATAGTACAGGAATACTAGTACTTTATATATTCATATGTGTTTTTGAGAAATCGGAAAAAGTGTAAAGTACTTCTGCGGTTCAACGGAATCTACTCAAGCAGAATGCAGATAATTAAAAGTTTGACTTATATTTGAAATTATGTTTATATACTTGAAACAGTAATCAAGTTATATGCTTTTGAAAAACCAAAAAGTAGAATAAATGCCACTTCTGGTTGCCAGAAGTCGCTGAAAGGTTGACACAGATCTACACATTTGATATAATATTACATGTGAAATTTCATCTAGCTAGCTGTTACGGTACTCAAATTAACTTTTTAAAATAAAATAAAATCTCGTAGAAAAACGAATTGCACACCAAGTGAACGCCAAAAAAAATGTGCACATAGAGCGGAATATTAATAGTACTATATAAATTCACATGCGTTTTTTGTTGAGAAATCGAAAATATAAAAAATTACCACTTTCGGTAAATAGAAATTACTCACAATTTGACAGAAGGCAGAGAATCAGATCTTTTACTTACGTGTGAAAATTCATTTTTCTTTCTAAAATAGTACGTAAGTTACAAGCTTTTGAAAAATTCAAAGTAGAAAAAGTTCCACTTCCGTTTATCGGAAATCGCTCAAACGTTTTATGGATCTACGATTCTGATATAATACTTATATTTTAAATTTTATCAACCTAGCTGTAACTGTTTTAAATATATCGTATTAACACACACACACACACACAAACAAACGCACACACACACACATATACGGTCAAGTTTGCAAAACTATGTTTTTTCGACTCACGAATGCGCAAAACGTCGAGATATGCAAAATTCTCGATTTTTTTTTGCACGATTACAAGATTTTCTTTATGCTTCGTATATACGAGAAAGTAAAAAATCGAAGCAATTCCAAAGCTTACAGTACTCGAAATGATGAAAATATTTCTTTAAAAATTAAAGTTTCGTAGGGAAACTCAACTCTAAAAATAAAAGTCACACTTCTTAAAATAAGTTTGTAACGCGAGGAAATCCTTTTATACAGTTTCGTCACTTTGCGAATGATGCAATTAGCCTCTATTTTTAGACGATACAATCAGAAAATGAGATGGAGCATTTAATAATACACCATTACTAGCGCTAACAAATTGCATAAGTCACACTGATTTTACAAAAAGTCAAATATTTTTTCTAGATGTTAAAAATCCTTTTAATCTTCGTCACTTAAGCAAATGACGCAATATGCATTATTGTTTTATGCTGCTATTCGGCGCTCTGGGTTACCCTGTGATATCCAGGGCGCTTACGTTTGATTTAATTAGCCAGGGACCGTAGGCGGCGCCCCCGCTGTGATCCAACCGGGGTGTCTCGATAGCGCCCATTAACGTCCTTGATACCATAGCGGTCATTCTACCTCAATGTTACGGTGAGTGTTTAATGTACACTCAAGGATTTCCCCGATAAGTATAATCCAAGCGCGGCATTTAAATTTAAATTCAGTTTTAAAAACAAAGGTCACACGTCTAAGAATATAGGATTAGTTGATGAAACGTTTTTTTTGTATTTTTCGTCAGTCTTTATTAAAACCCATCGGGAACGCTGATACGGGCGGGATGGTATTATAAATTTTAGACTGTGGTCGATGATATGTAACTTTATAAAAAATATATTTAAAAACAAAAGGTAATTTACATATGTTCACACTTAAATACAATGAACATGCACCTATCATATGAAAAAGTATGTTATACCATTTACCTACATCGTGTGTGTTGTTTACTGAGAAAAATTTCTTTGCTCCCTTTCTTCTGGCAATGTTATGTAAAATGAAAACAACTTGACTAATCATCCATTTAGATTTGGAATTCTGTAATTTTAATCATTGACATACGTTAAATTGTTTGCCATTTCATCATATTCTTTAAAGAATGTTGTCAGAGAAATAAACAAGAGTCGAGAACACTCTTGGGCATCATCAGTATACCATCAGTAAAAGTATATTTCAAAAAATTGACTGGCTAGTAAATATTGAGTGCAATTTTGGAAAAAATGACAAATAATACACTATGCATTTCGATTGACGAGATAGCTGTGAATTATAGAAATATCGGAATCCAATTTTGTAGCGACGCCTTCATATGTGTTTCAAATATGGCTCATCTAAGAATGTGTGTACCTTGTAGGAATCTTAATGAGGCGAACGAAAGCGTTGGGTAAAATATACTCGAGCTCAGGATATAACTATACACAAACATAGTAAATATCTGACTGCTCTCTCTTTAGTAGAATTGGGCTTTGCCATCAACTAGTTACATAAGAATATAAAGAGTAAATCTGTGCTCTTATCTCGGCAAATAAATAACATTTTTACTTTCGGCAATCGTTATACAATATATATATATATATATATATATATATATATATATATATATATATATATATATATATATATATATATATATATATATATTAATAATAAACCATTTATCCGGTTATATATTGTAAAGGGAAAAATGGGATTTATGTAATTAAAATTTTTAGTTTTAAAACCCAAGTCTATGTCTTACACTCGATAATTTAAAAAATCAAAATTATTTAATACAAATAATTAAGTAAGTTATGAATAGAAATTTTTAGAAAATTTCGAAGTGCGTAATAAAAACAAATTCTATCATTAAATTACTTTACCTGTACGTTTTTAAGAGCGATGAGGAAATTTGTAAACATCCTTACAAAGTCCTTCTCGGCCAAATGCTATCATTAAATACAGAATAAATTTATAAAGAACTATTATTTGTCCCATTAACATAAAATTTTATTTTTAACTGTGTAACTCTAATTATCTGTTTAATATGAATAAAAACATGATCGTAAAATAATTACCAAAGCAAATTCTGTATTATGATAACTACCGCTTATCAACAGACTCAGCATATCACGAATTAAAGGCGAAGTAAAACCTGGTGATGTTGTATCCAGAAGATTTTCATCTTTTAAGCATCTCGATGTTATATCTGTAACGATAATGTATCAAGAAAGTACAACATTTTTTTTTTATTTGTATTCGTCTCTTAGTTTGATTTTGGTCGTTTAAACATTATGCTAAAATAATTTATTATGAAATTATCTATTTAATACGATTTTCATTTTCGGTGGAGTGTACGTCGCTGACGGAAGTACTCGTGTGTTGTGTGCGGGTTTATTGTTTGAAATATATTTTGTAAAAAGCAACAGTTTTGTAGTACTTACATACGGCGTGTGATCGTGATTTTTTGTTCGTTTTTGAAATCTTGGAAAGGATGATATCTGTTTTATTTAGATGTGTGAGGAGTAAAAAGGGTCGGGAGAATGAGAACGTATTGGGAGATTTACATTACCTGTCTTTTAGTTATTCTTGCCCATTCTAACTCTAAACCCGTAACTATTCTCCTCTTCCCCTAAAGTCAAATTGCCCCCCCCCCCCCCCCAAAATTACCTCTACTAAACAACTGCAATATGATATTACCCCCCCCCCCCCTATACACACATAATCAGCAACCATTTATTTAGATGCAGATATGAAGAAATAATATGCACAAGTAGGCTACCTAAATGGGCTATGATAAATAACGGGTAGAGATTTGGACATTGGTATACCTTCAACAATGGGTGAGGGATATAAATAGATTTTGGGAAAAGTGAAACTGGATCAGCAAATTAATTTGGGAAATCGCAAGCGCTAATGTTATGTAAAATGAACTGGGATTTGGGTATTAATAATGAAGTGTAAGATAGGGATAGCGATACGTATTAGGAAAAAGTTAAGTATAGCTTCGTGTGAATGTCAAGGATAAGAATAGCAAGAGGTAAAATAAAATGGATAAAGATACTAATATGTTTAGGGAAGGGATAGCGACAGAAATAAGTATAATTGTAGATATTATTATTATTATGTGTAGATGGAAATAGGCATAATGTTTCTGTTTATCATTATCTTTGTGTTTGGGATTGTGGTTGTGGATAAGGTTATGACAAATGTGCTCCAGACGATGGCTCAGGACCAAATAATTCTCCAGTCAAATATATAATATGGTCACTTTTAATTGACTGAATGAAAAACGTCTTCATGAACAAACACATTTATAAAAAAATTGAGCTATTAACTGCAAATGCGACTAATTTTAAAATTTTGAGAATGTTCTTTTTAAACCCGGAGAATACATGAAGCTTAAAAGTGAGCGCAGATACTAGATAAAATAATTGAAAAAAAGGCTTTTAAATCAATAGGTACATAAACTGTAGTATTTTTAAGTTATTTGGCTAAGCTAACTCTGAAGAGTATTAATGAAGAATGACTACCAGGTCATATTAAATGAGTTTTTGTCGCCGTGGGACTTTTTGTCTCGACGGGAACCATTTTGACACGTGCCTTTTTGTCGGGAATCCTAATAACAGCATCCCTTTTGACGAAAGCCAAAATGACTGGAGTTGATATATTGTGAGCCTTAATGACTTAGGATATTTGACGGATCGACTTGACGGCCATATTGTCGGTGGCATTTTATTGCCGAACGCGGGAATCGATAAAACGTTACATTAGAAATTCTACATATAGAATTCACATATATTATAATATTGCATCAATAGAAATTTTTTTGTACCGGTCCAATAAATCGGAATCCTTCTAGTTCTATATGTCAGTGACAAAAACGTCCCGTCTAAACGACCCCGACAAAATGGCCCCGACATAAAAACTCCGCCTCAAATGACGGCAACAAAAGAACCCGTCATATATTCTCCCGACAAATAGACTCCCGTCTTTTAAAAATCGTCTCACGACAAAAGGGTCCATTTCAATACGGTTTCCGTAGAGACAAAACGGCCTCATTTAACATCATATCTGCCAGTAGGACCTCTTCGGCCATACTCTTTAGAATTAGCTTAGCCAACAACCTTAAATAATACAACACAAGCAGCTCTTGCTTGGCAGGCCTTATTTTAAAACAATTTTACCTAGTATAAGAAACAGTATGTTATAAAATGTAAGAGTCGTCAAGCTATGTCTTCCATCAAATGAGTCGATTTTGGGCTTTTTCAACTAAGTTTGTGGTGAGAGAATCCACACTGTACATTCATCAGCAGTATGCGTGTAGGTTATCAAAACGAAACATCCTTAATCCGATAAACATCATGTAGGCCTACATCATACATTAAAACGTATGTGTACGCGTTTGAGCAACATATCTACACCGTTGTAAAATGCCATTATCAACATTTTAAAATTGGTCGAATTCAAATTTTAAGAGCTAGACTCGTTCATGAATAATTGCTGGTAGCTCATGAACAATCTTTTCATTCAGGTATTTAAAAAGGTTATTGTGGTAGTTTGGATAGGAACTTTGGTGAAAGTAGTAGTCATTCGATTTATTTTTCTGGAGCAAATGTGTCTTTAGCCAATTTATTTGGAGCCAAAATGTCGGGAGCTCATTTGTTGTGAGCATATTTGTCGTAAGCCTATTTGCCGGGAACTAATTTGACGTAAGCTAAAATGTCGTGAGCGTTTTTGTCGGAAGACAATAAGCCGGGAGTCCATTTGTTATTAAAGAGAGATCAAATCATAAGGTAAGTGACAAAAACGTATTTTGTTATTTTACTACTTAAGATGTAGAATTCTAAATGAAAAATCGCCGTAAATTGTGTACTATTGATAACATCTCCCGTACAACGATGTCCTTATTGCCTGCCACCTGAACCAGTGATAGCAACACAGTTAGTGACTCAACATACACGTAGCAATATAGTCAGTGACTTAACATACAAGTAGCAACATAGTCAGTGACTTAACATACAAGTAACAAACAGTTAGTGACTTATTATACAATTATCAACATAGTCAGTGATTTAACATGCTCGTAACATCTATAAGGGTGTTGTAGGGGTTCATAAAATCCGAATTTTCTATTTAGCAGTCTTGTTACCAACAACCAGAACGACCTTTTTATGTGAGCTAAAACACAGTTTTTACTAAAGTAAGACTGTAAGCACATACATTACCCGCATAGTTAAGATCTAAGATTAGTCTGAAAAACTTCAGATTATCTTCAGCATTTAAAGTAGAGTAAATTGTCCTCAAACATCTCTGACATATGAAGAAATGTAAAGCGTCAAAGTCTCTCATGTTAGAAAACTCGGACATAACATTAGAAACAAATTCCTGTAAATCATCATAGCTTGGTTTCTGGAAGTAAAAAAAACAACATTTTTAACATGGTTGTAGTTGCATATGTGTAGTATAATTTTTTTTCTAATTCTTTATCAAATGCATGTAATTCAAGAGAGAGTTGTTAACGAATGAGATCGATAAATATGTCGAATATTTGAGTCTAAAAAGGCACTACTACTCAAGTGCGAATAAGAGATCCCATGCAACTGATAATATTCAAATCAAACTCAGATTTCCCAATGATTGTATGACTGGGAAAAACATTACATATAATTTATGTTATGATAGATTATAAATATCTATCATGGTGTCTCCACCTCTCCCTCCTTCTTGCTACCCCACAGCTAATGGTACACACCTGGACCTGAGTCTAGCGGTATCGTAAGGCTGACCAGGCCTCGACCTCAGACTGCGGTTATGAGGGCGAAGCCTGAGTCATTTTACCTATAGGGTAGGGACGCCACAGTCCGGTCACTCTACCAACTCCCCTCTACGGAGGTACACGTTTTTTTTTTGCGCTAAGGCACTTGCCATTATAACATTATACTTATGTTGGTGCTACGGCACTTGTTTTCCACAGAATGGCATACAGAATATCAGCAAATAAAGGTTAAAAAAGAAACTGGTCACGTAAATGCACACATCTAGCTGAACTTTAAATACGAAAATAAGATTAAAGAATGTTGAATTAGAAATAAAGAAAAGCTTTCATAGTGAAATAAAGAATTTAACACCTACATTTTGTAAGTGAATCAGAGGCAATTACGAATCAAATTACATTTAGAAATAATAAGACAGGAAGACGAAACTACAATATAAATGGTAAAGCTCACACCCAAAGAAACTATGGTCATAAAAATAAACATAAAGAAGATGAGGTTAAAAGTCTTAAAATGAAAGTATGGGCAATGTATTTAGTTGACGATACAGAAAACAGAAGTGTAAGAATCCACAAAGAACTAAATGGTTTTAGTGCTGTAAAAAAGCCACTACAAATCTGTATTTTGGTACACACATGTCGATAGAAGACAAAAATAAATTACCGCCACACATGTTAAACAAAAAAAAATGGCAAAAATGTCAAGAGGCGTCTTTCTTATTAAGATTAGAAAATCTCCCATAATACATACAGTATTCAGCATAAAAAGTATCAAATCAAAGATTAATAACATGTGTAGGCCTAAGCAGTTGGTTTATATACAAAACATGCAGATACAAAGTGAGAAAAATTCAGACGTTCACACACTTTGTCCCACTAGCACACAACTTTCAAGGGGAGGCTACTCTCATACACACTCTCTCCGTACCTACACATTGTCCTTATAGACAATCAACGTCACACATAGTAAACATAATCAATGGTATAATGACAGTATGAAAGCTATAAGCCATACATACAATTCAATGGAGCGTTGTTAAACAAGCTATCGAATATTTTTAGGGTCGATTTAAATATGAAGGTAAGTCATATAACATATTACTTGATTGGCATGTTTACATTTTATTTCAATCAGTTGAATTGTACTAAAGTCACTGGGTGATTA